CCACCCACTCTGCCCTGCTCCCTTCTCCTCCCCAGAGCACAATCTGCTTCCCAAAGCATGGTGGTGGGAGCAGGGAGCGCAGGCATTGTTCCTACAGCTGCAGGTCCTGGGCATTAAAAGACCTCTCCTGTAAACCCCGCAGGGATCAGCACCTCCCTGCTGCCCTGGGCTGGAACAGCAGCCCCACCTTGGCCAGTGGTCCTACCCTGGGGGTCTTTAAACATGGCCAGCTCTTCCTGTTCAGCCCTGTGATGGCTCAGGTGATGGCTTCTTGCCATCCACGTGGATTCAAAGCCTCTGAACCCCAGGGCCAGTTTCTCAGATGCTGAGAGGAGGCAGATTGCACATCAGCTGCTCTAAGCTCGCTGAAGGCTAAATGAACTCCAGTTACATCTCACCTTAACAGCTCCTGCAGAGCTTTGCAAGGATGCAGAACAGCTGGGAATGGAAAACATCCTGCTGCTGCCCTTATTCCACATCTCTGTGCTTTACAGAGCTACTGGAGAAGCCAAAAATGCAGCTTTGTGCCAGGCACAGCTCCGCTGCCTGCTCTACTTTCCCTTTGCACCAGCCCAACTGGATGAGTTTCCACAAATTCCCCCAGGCACCCAACGTGCAGACAGAATTTGGTTGGTCTCCCTTTTCTTCAGACATCCCCTGTGTGTCCTTTCCACTTTGCTGGATTAGCTCCTGAAGTGTTACTTACTGGAGTTACTCATAAAATGGACAAGGGGTATAAGAGTGTAACATGAAATTGCTCTTATCTACTGCACGCAACGATAAATCAGGTGGCGATGCTGCTGACTCTGGGAAAATCCACCTCCAGAAAGTCCTCACTAAGCGTCCTGATGCAGTCAGGGAAAGCTGCTGGGGAGGGAGGGAGAGGAGACGGGGGACAGGAAGGGCTGCCCGATTTCAGACATCTTCCAGAGCACCTGTTCTCAGCTTGTTTGCTAATCTCATGACCGATCGTTGAACCTAACCTTGCTTCCTGGACACAGAAGCAAGACATGGAGAAAAAAAAAAACAGAAGAGGGCAACACATCAACAATAAATAGGACATCAATTAAACAAGAGAGCCCTCACCTGCACAAGCAGCCAAAGGAAAAGCCATCAATTCTTCCACCTGACAGCACGGCCTCTGTTAGCACACGCCTGGCTTACTGTGATCCCTCGGGAGATGAAGTGTCTGAAACCCTCAGCAAGAAAAGGACAGGTTTCCTGATGCGGTCACAGTGTGTCTCCTTTTAATTAATTATTATTATTATTATTTTTAAATTTGGAGAAAGAGAAAAAGGTGACCACAGCTTGAAAATGTGTTTGATGAGAAAAATCTAAGGGATGACTGCAGCAGTTAGCAGGCCAGGTCTCAAGTCTCTAACCCTGCCTCATCTTGTCTGGCTGAGAGAAGCTCGCAGAGATCACGTGGGAAGTTTGCAACTTTCCAGGATTTCAAAGCACTCGGCACTTGCAGTGTTTTTGCCCTGTTTTTTATTAAAAGAGAGAAACCGTGACTTTCTTAAAAGGAGGTGAATCACCAAGTGACCTTGTGGATCTGTCCCCTTAGCCTTTACAGTTCCACACACGCAGTGCTCTAGCAGGCTGCTGCTGAGCAGCCCTTGCAAGACCCCTGGGTGTGTATCACCAAAAGATGGGTGCTCCACGTGCCAGGCAGGAACAGCTCCCTGCCCCGGAGCTCCCTCCCCTACCTGCTCCAGCTGAGCCCAAATTCATTCATCTTTGAGCAGGGGCTTGCAGAGCTTCTGCAGCAGGGACTGACAGAGCGCAAATGAAGAATAAGTGCCTGGCTGCAGACAGACCTTTGCTGGAAGATGTTGCAGTGGCTGTTGCCAGCCTCCAATCTTAGCTATTGTGTGACCTTCATTCTGGACCATAAAGCACTTAGGGGCAAGACTGTCTCTCTGTACATGTCTACAGCAACCGCCACAGCGTGTGTCATCTCGTTCCCAGCACGCCTGCTGTATTAATAGTGAATTGACAGATAGATGCATAGTTAGTATGCACGGATTTAAATGGTATTCCTGGGCTACGTCCAAAACACAGGTGGTGATTTCTGGACACTGGATACATTATCCACAGCAGAGCAAAAATTATAGTGATCAAGAAGAAAGGAGCATTATCATCCTTCCATCATTTCCCTTCTGAAAAAAACGCAACAGGTCAGCTGCTTCTAAGCCCGCCCTGATCAATCATTGCAAATGCTAAAAGCATTTAGAAGACATTCTCCTTTGAGCCATTTGTCAAGTGGAATTTGGCACTTTTTAGTCCTTTTATTAGTTCTGCTTGTGAGAGAAATTCACTTGAAGCCAATGCTTAATGCAGTGAGAGCGCAGTACATATTTCTGTGGCAAAGATACCCATTATTCAGCTGTGCGCGGAGATGTGAAGGGGATTTAACAAAGCCCTAGGGCTGGAAGGGAGAGGATGCCCTGTGCCTCGACCTGCTGTCCTGCGTGCACATCCCTTTAAATCTGCACTTCAGCCTCAGCCCGCTGAAACTCCTGTAAAATGTACTGGAAGTGAAAAACAAAAATGTGGTTGTGAGGTGAAAGCAGACTCGGGGAGCCCAGCGTGCCTGCCTGCAATGGACCTGCTGCTTCATCAAGCAGGCAGGAGTAAACCTGGATGCAGGGAGACAACGCAGGGGCACTGCATAATGATCAGCCCCATACTGCACACGAGGATGGAAGAGTCTCGGGCACCTCGCTGGCTTTTCAGCTGGGTACCGCTGCGGGCAGGCTGCCTGCCTCCACCACGGCTGCTCTCACACAGCAGCCTGCACATCCCCAGCCCCAGCCCCTCACGTGGGATCAGCTGTACCTAAAGCGCCTCTAATATGCTTTAAGCCTGGGGAACTAAGGCACAAAGGGATTAAGAGAACTAGCCAGAAATCACACGGAGGAGGATGTGTTAAAGATAGGAACTGAACTTTTATCCCCTAAAAACCTGCCTGGATCAGTGCTCAGTGGCTTGTGTCAAGCCTTTGCTGGTTGCACAGCCGCTGCTTTAGGGGCTGATGCTTTCCACTCCCCTGCACTTACAGTGCCTGGCACAGAGGAGTACTGGTGCTGCCGCAAAGCTGGCACTTCACATAACCCCCAAAATCAGTATCATTGGACAAAAAAGTGGGAGAGGAGGAATACCAGCTGGACATGACCTGCCTGGGACTCCTCTGCTCCTGTCCTCTCATTACTTTCCAGCAAGGCCACTTGTTCCCTCTCTCACTTGTCAGGATCAGATGACATTTGAGTTGTGTAGACGAGATCTGCCAGGGCAAGACACATGTCTGCGGTCGCTTTGGGCAACCAACTGCCAAGGCCTTTAACTGCTCCCTTTTGATGTCCCTACAAAGTCAACCTCTCTGCCTCCCTGGCGATTTGTCTTGCTATACCCACAGCGCTTCGCCTCCCAGAGATTTGTGCATGGGCTGCTCTCGCCTTAGCCAGGCTCTCCTCCCTCAAGGAAAGGGCCAGCTAAGGATCTGGCCCACAATATCTATTTCTGACCTAACAGAAGAGAGAAGGTTGACCCCACACACAGGCTGCAGCTCCTGGTGCCGCTCTCACACCAGCAGCACCTCCTCAGGTGACAGACTGCCCGCATCCTGTGGGGCTACATCCACGTGAACCACGCTGCAAAAATCAGCTCCCTGGCTCAGGTCCAGAACAGCACTTGAACAGGATTTAACATCAAACACATCGTGGCTGCCATCAATCATAGAATTCACAGTTTGTAAGTGAGCCACTTGCCCCAGTGTCTTGAAGCACCGGAGCAGAGCTCTCGCCCCTACAAGACTGGGGTGTTTCATAACACAGGGATTCACAGCCACGGACACTTTGGGCCTGGTTTTAACCTGCTCTGCACATTGCACAAGAATTTATATCAGTACATAAATCAGAAAAACTCTCAAAAAGAAATTCTCATTTAATTTTCATGGAAGCGTTTCATACTCATTTTGCAGCAGTATAAAAGACAACGCAAGACGCGAGAGGGAGGAACTTTTGTGCGTGTCCTTAGGGGACAGATCCCAGATCATTTAACCAAATGGATCTTGGCACATTATCTTGGCTGGGAGTGAGACCAGGTGATACCTGTGTTGAAAAAAAAGTCACGTACTGTGTGACCCAAAAGAGAGGTGAATGTTCAAATGAAAGAGACAAACCTCTAAGGTTTGGGACCAGTAAGCAGGCAGGTCTGGCCAGGAGGCACGCACACAACACACAGGGCAGGCAGCACCGTGTGGTGATGGAGGAGTTGTCAGCATTCAGACCATTTTGAAAGCAAAGCCCTTCTAAACAGCACCTGGGATGCAGCAGGATCCCAGCTCAGCTGTTCTCCCCTCCCAGAGACCCTCTAAAACCCAGCGCTGTGACCACCTCAGCTCAGCTCACCTCCTGCCCCGAGCTGAGATCACAGCACAGTTAACCCCTCGCTGCGACCAGTGAAACATTTTCCTTCTGAGCAGTTATGTATTCCCAGAAAACGCAAAGAAATAAGATAAAATAAAACCCACTCTTGGACTAGCACCATATTAATGCAACACTGATACGTGCCACAGATTGAGACCAGCTTGTTTTTCCTAGGATAACAGACTTGTGAACGATTTCTGAACTGTAGCAGTTCTAATTAGTAAGGAACATTTAAGTCAATTGTAACAGTGTACTGGTTATTCCAATTCTTATTATTAATTGTATTTGATTACACATTTGCAACCATTAAATACGGTATCTCTAGAGTACCTGCAAAGACCTTTAACTCAGCAGAAAACCATGAGAAGTATTTAACTCAGAGAAATGGCCAGAAAATGCAAGGCTGAAATTCATGCTAGACCCATCCATCATTTATCTACTCTCTTTGTGTGCCTGACTGATCAGTGAATATGAGACACAAAGGACTTGTTTTCCTTCATCCTCTGTTCTCTCTGGACCAAAGTCCTCTTTCCTCAATTGCCCTGTGTGTATCGTGGCTGCTCAGCTTACCCCGTTCAGCGTTAGCATGGGCACATGGTCGTCATCTCAGGAGGGCAGGACAGGTGAAGATCAGAGCTGTCTAGTGAAGGAAAATGCTGCTCTGTGGAGGGTTCTGGCACTCTGCAATGTGGTTCCATCCCTAATTAGGAATGAAAACTGAAGTTATCAAAACTGTCTGAGAAAAATAAAACCCAGGGATTCCCCATCTGGGGAAGGCTCTGGTGCTATATTTCCCATGGCTCCACAGGCTCTCGTATTCACTCCTGTGGAGGCAGAACTTTACACTACTGTAAAAAAATTCACTTTGAAGAGGTGTTTCTGTGTCCTACAATGTTAAATTGCTAATGGGAAAGGAAATGTATTCATGATTCAATGTATAAAAGTAGTCTTAGAGGAATGCAGATTGTATTTTCCCTCTGCAAACATTTGATCATCCCAATAAAACAGCAGCCCCACCTTTTCCACCAGCTCAATAAATCACAGAGTATGGAAATAACAGGTTTATTGTTGTCATGATGATCGTTACTGAGGGATTTTATGGTGTGCTGGAGAGATGGGGGTGCTTGTTTATAGGCATGTGGTGCCTCCTGAAGGACTGTGGGACTCTGTAAAACTCAACTTACTGCTAAGTTTCTGGTTTAAAAAGAAAACTATTCTCCTGAATCAGACCCCATCTCAGTCGTGATTGCATTCAGTGATGCTCCAGCTGAGAGGCTGAGCCAACAGTTCTCCAAATGAACAGCTTCTGTAAGTCAGGACAATGAAATTGTACTGCGAGGTCTTATATCCAAGCACCCACAAACCCGAGTAACATAACCATAATGCTCTGACCTCTGCTTCTGCGTTTGTTACTGCTAATTACTACTATTGATAGGATTTGAGCTTACGACTACAATCAGGGCCATGTTATGCAAGTCCTGGGTCATATTCAGAGTAGGAGGCAGTTCTTTGCCCAGAAGAGCTTTTATTCCATGTGTCATTCCTGGCAGAGCTGGGCAGTTATTTACCATTTTCTGTATATTCTTGGTACCTACCTGAGACACAACTAACCCCCTGGAAGAAGACAGCCTCTCATCACACTGGCTACCAAGGGAACTGGCAGCAAACCCCCCTCACTTTAGGCATTGCCTTACACACGCTACAACATCACCTACCTATGGCTTGCCGGGACCACTCTGGGCATAGGCTTCTTAACAGCTGTTTTTCAGCTTCAAAACCTCTAAGGAGATGCCATCTGATGCCCTGTATCAAAAAGAAAGCCAGGAACTGTCAGGCCAGAATGCATGGCAGCAATTTTAACTGATGACTTTAAGGTCTACATGCTCCTTCCAGAGCTTGCTGTTTCCCAGACACGAGCCACTGGACAGCGTGTTTATGGGGCTGCTGTCAGTGAGAGCGGAGCTGGGGCAGTAACGAAGACAAGTTTCATGGGTGTTTCTCTTGGGCTAATGCTATTCCCTCCACCATCTCTCATCTCCTATCTTTCTGGATGCAGGAGCCCTGTAATGCTCTGCATAACATCTCTTTTCCCCTCCCCGTAGGACTGATGACAAATTAGCATTTCACCCTCTGGAATGACTCTGTACAGTGAAGCGCCTGTATCTTAACACTTGGGCAAGACTTTCATTTTATTGGAAATTTCCTGTATTGTTTTATGGCCAGCTCTGCAGACTGACAATAAAGCAGGAGGAGGAGGAGTGCTTTGAGAGGTGCTCAGCTGCTCTGACTTCTGCCAACTCAGCGCTTCACAAGAAAGCACTCAGCATCTGGCAGGATTGATCTCTCACTTTTTTTTTTTTTTTTTTTTTTTTTACCTCTCCCACCTCCTTTTTACAGTATAAATTAAGTTTAATGCCACAGCAAATGTGCAAAGTTATTCAGGGCAGAGCAAGCTAATGAACTGAGCATTGTACTGCAAGAGCAACCTCCCTGCCCATCCCGCCTCTCTTTTCTTTTTTGCATTTTAATGCTTTATCTTTTCCCAAAATAGCCACAATTCTTAGACCTATTAATATGTCCTTCATTAGGAGAAAAAAAAGTTCTAAAAGAAAAGATCTTTGAAAGCTGTGCTTCGGATTTAATAAGCTGGACAAAATAGTTATCCCAGCAACTGGGCTGAAGAGCACAGTGGGAATGGAAACACACAGCTCCTGGTGCAGGACCGATCTCGTAGCACTGGACTGAATACAAACATGCTTTGACTGCCTAGAGGATAATACAAGCATGACTACTTCAGTAAAATAAAGAAGATAATAAATCAGGTGCCTATTTAGCACCTATTTCACAGTAGCTGCTCTCCATCTTCCACCAGAAAGGAAAGAAATAGGGAAGGAAAACAAATGAGAGATCAAAGCTGAACTGAGATACAGGAACAGTGAAAAATCATCTCCGATCAAGACTTAGAGGGAGCTCTCTGGCTGTTTTCCCCCAGGTTCATTAATAACAGCTTTGCATCAAAAAGGTGTTGCTGCAAACAAAATTTGGCATTCAAATACTGCTTCTTGCAGGTTTTGCCCCCGGTAGAAAGATGCAGGCAGTTTGGTTCTCTGACCAGTTCTGCACTGGTGTGATGTCCCAGGCTTGTTCGTGACCTGCCTCAGTGAGCATGGAGAATCAGAACAGCACTGGAAGCAACAGCCAGGGCTGTGGGCGACCTCTGAGCTCTGTGTAACAATGCTACACCTATTTGCAGCATCCCTGCACTATTACAAGACACAAACCAATTGGGTTGATTAAATATTCAAACAAACTGGAAGCAGTAGCCTCTTCATCACTTGGAGCCTCCCAGCCTAGACCCGTACTTCTCTGAAAGATATGCTTTAGACATGCAAGTTACTAGTGCCAGTAGTAGGGTAAGCAAAACAAATTCCGTCAGTTAGAATATACGAGCTAATGGTCCCTTCTGCTCTTAAAAACTACAAGTCTGACGTTTCTAATTTTCATCCTGCTTACCTCTGCTGATGCCAAAGTCTGCCATGGCAAGGTGGTACCTTCACAAACAGTTGTGGCAAATGTTACTTCCTCCAGCTGCTTTCTCTTTAGGAGAAAACAATGCTTACAGTCACCTGTGAAAGAAATCAGATAAAGAATTTCCAGTCCACTCTCAACAGCAGCAAGGATTACCTGAACCTACACGTTAGGGTGCTTTGGACCCACCTGGAGCTCGTACATTCTCTGTTTGCAGAGCTGGGGGATATTCATCGCAGCTGGGGAGCACACAGGAACAACGTGCAGGCTGGGATGAGGGGGCACCACCTCCTGATGCTGCTGCCCTCTTGAGGAGAGCTAACAGAAACAAGGACCTCCAGCAGCCACCCCACTCAGCACACAGGTGATTATTACTTTCCTGCATTGTTCAAGCAGTTCCATTAATGATGCTCACACTTGGTTTGATATCGCTCAGGAATGGAGGCAGCCTTAGAACAGATTATTGCTTTCCACATCAAATTAGCAACTAGAGTTTGGATGTTCACTGGCAGGAATATCTTTGCATCTTTTATATACTCCTGGGTGGCTTCCCCCTGAATCCAGATATCACATCATTTGTTTAACTTACTGAATAAAGTAATTAATACTAGGGAGTTCTGACTGCTTGGCAGAATATGCTGTTACAGCTAACAAATTTTATGTCTTTAGGCTTCACAGCGGAATTTGATTTAATTTGTCCCAAGGTTAAGAAAGACAGGGAGGAAATTTGATAGCTCCAGATCACACATTCAGAGCAATTTATCATCTTTGCCATGTGGCATGGCCAGACATGACTTCCAAGTTAAGACAGTGGTAGAAGTTTACCACTTCATCTTTGCTTTAAACTTGCATCCATCCATCATCAGACACCATATGTCCAAAACACACTGCGTCTCCAGCCACTGGTAAGGAGAGCTGACACTGCATGAAGTTATCCGCAGTATCGTAGTGTGACTTTAGTGCCTTTTGGATGAGGATCCCAAAATTTTGGAATTAGTTAACTAGGTGATTAAAACCTCCATAATCCCAAGGAAAGGCAGGGAAGCATCTTTAGGACTTAAACTGTCCACTTCCCTCTGCTCAGCAGTGGATTTCAGAGCAGGGAGGCTTCCAGAGCTGCAAAAACTCGCACAGCAGAGAGACCAAGATCTCACGGAGTGAAGTGCAGAGAGTTTTCTACTCTGTGAGTCATAGACCCAACCAACAGGTCACACTCAATTTCCAAAACAGGGGCTACAGCATTGTAATGACAGCTTCCGAGAGGATGCGTATGAGGCTATAGCTTGTGAACAGCATTATGCAGCAATTATGTACCAAAAGAGCTCCCAGATGTGCATTGAATGTGGTAACAAAATGTCCCAGTTTATGGCATTTTCTCCCTCTCTCCCTCTCTTTTGTCATTGTCCTTTAGGAAGTGAAAGTGAAGAATAAAGCTCTATTTTTAGAAACAAGTCCAGGTTCTAAAAAGAGAGCAAATTAAGTGCAGAGATTTTCTAGGCAAAGGCGAATGGCACACTGCAGGCCAACTCAAACATCCCTGCGGGGACAGACCCACATCCCCAGTCTCAGTGGAGCTGGGGCTGTCCCCACCAGAGCAGCACCCAGCTGCAACACAGGAAAATCAAAGACGGGAAGGAAGACCAGAACCAGCTCTCACAGAAGTGCCACCCTGGAGAGACCTGAGCAGGTTTACCTGCCCTTTCCCCTGCACATGTCTAATTGGGAACTGTATTTGACTCTAACTTACCTTTGCGACAAATGCTTAAATTAGCCAAGTCATGTTGCCAATGATTCACAGAATACCTCGAAGGGTACAAGCCACTTACTTGTAAGATCTTCCTAAAGGTTAATTCGATTTTGAGGGCTGATTTCGGCATTAGGTTTCCACTGCGGTTTCCCTGAATGGCTTCATCTGTGAACCTCTGGATGAGACAGAGCCATCTGTCATTGTTCCAAGTTAACAAGAAGCTGGGTGGAAAACAAAAGGAAAGCATTGTAACATACATGACTGGAAGTTAAATTAAGTCATCTACGATTAAAGAACTTGGATTACAGAGATCACAGATTCTACTGCAAGATCTGAACTGATATCGCTCATCTTTAAATCCCTAAGACACGGGGCTTGACTCTCTGCTCCCTCTCATGGCCAAGTTGTCTGGGACTCACTCTGATTTTGCCCCAGTGCCCTCAGCAAGGTACCAAAGCATCACCATCAGCCCTCCAGTAGTGGTCTCCCAGTCAGGCCACTCCAGATTTTGCCACAGCAGTACGTCTGCCTCATCAGGAGTAGTAGTTCTGTAATTCACGCTTGTGCCAGAGCCAGCCAGGGCATGTGTCCAGGATCCTGACTCTAATTACTTATGCTGCCCTGCTCAGGCAGTTCCTAACATGATTTATTTTAAGGACGACAAAAAATGATTATTGCTGATCACTTAAAATAACTATCTTTCTAAGCACCTGGCAGTTTAAGTCTAAAAGTGTGTAACAGAGGGTCCAGATCCTCATAAGAGACACAAGCCCTTCATTTGAGTGGGCAGTTTGGGACACAGCGGCACATTTACTGCAGTCTCCTTATTAATGCCTCTCAGTAAGGCTCTTCTGCAGGAATCTCTGTGCCTCCAAGGCTGCAAACCTCGCCTGAACACCTCCCCATCACACGGACCATGTGTGCTGTTCCAAGTTACATACAACGCGCTGCTTCTTAGTCTTTTTATCCCATTCAGTTTTTTCTCTAATCGTCTTTAGGGGCTCTTTGGGAGACAAACAGTTGTGATTTGTATGTACAACCACCTAGAACAAGGAGGGCCTGGATTCTCAGTCCAAACAATAAATAATATTTAATATAGTCCAGGCATGACTAGCCAGTTTCTACCTAAAAATGTCAATAAAGCAGGGCCATATTGATGCAGAGAGACATAAAATGTGAACTCCTTCAATACATGCACTTATTTGTCTCATTTTGTAAGGCTAGGAAGGAAAGAGCTGTTAGCAGTGAATAGTATTTTATTAGCATCATAAACCCCAAGAGCAAAGTTTGTGTCACAGGGAACTGCACATGCATTTGAAGACTTAATTTATGTTTTTGACTCCTCTTTTTTTTTTCCTTCTCTTTTTTTTTCAAGTAAGGATACAACATTATTTAAGATACAGACTAAAAGACTCTGGATACACCTGTGGATGAGAGGAATCTTCATGCAGAAGGTAAACTCACATCCCACTGACATCCTGTCAAGTAACAAGAGTTCAGTAGCATTTGAACATTAACTACTAGCATATATTTACACTGCAAAGGTGCTCGAGAGCTTGAGAAGAAAATACTATTTCACATGCACCAGGTTCTGAGCAAACAGTATCCTGAAATGCCAGCAAGCTCATAAGGAGAAGGAGAAGGAAGAGACTTATGGGGGTGACTTGCTGAGAACTCCAACAAGTTACCAGTGGAAAATGAGTGAAAATAGAAAAGAAAGCGTGGCTTTTGTTGGCTTTCCATGAATAGGACTCGCAGTGATACAGAAGCAGACCCGCAGCTGGTGCAAAGCTGCACTGACAGGAGATGTACGCTGACCTACAGCACCTGAGAGCCCAGTCCTGCCCCAGCTGGCTTCAGCCACCACCGAGACCCATCTCCACTGCAAACACTTCAAAACGAGGGGGCAAAACTCCTCCAGCTCTTGGTCATTCTCCTGCACCTCTACCAGTGCTTTCATTTTTCAAGATGGGTCAGGTTTTGATAATGATAGGAAATAGTTATTGCAGTACAATTGCAATCAACCATTGTTAATCAGCAAATTACAGCTTTCCATGCATTACAAAGCATTTAAGTACCAGCTGCTTATTCTGGTATATTTATGAGGTAACAATTCTGCAGAGCAAGTTCTCCGTCTATTACAGCGCAGTTAAGTCTCTGCAAATATGGCTTTAATGACCAAGGAGCATTTATTTAAGATTCTGTAGCCTGCCTGTTACAGTGAAGCGAAATTAGACGTGTAGGTGAGTGCTGTAGGCACAGCACTAGAAGTTTTATGACAAAAGAAATAGGCTGCACAAGTAGCTGTGGAAAAGCTGTTCTGCAGGGCTGAGGATAAAACTGAGCAGCATGGTGCAGGTTTTTCAGCAGACTGCGCCTTGCTGCCTATCGAGCAGTAAAAGTGTTTGTGGCTCTGAGCAGCAAGGTGAGACAAATCTCGTATGTCACAGCACAAACACAAAGGCTCGGCAAGTTCAGGAAGGAATGGCTTTCGTGGGGAAAATGTTCCCCTGCTCTTCGCCAGAGTAAGGCCAAACACGACTTCGGCTCCGCAGAGCTGTAGTGAGGGTGTGAGATCTGGGGAGCAGACCCAGCACAGCTCTGCTGTCTTTGTCTTTAGGGTTTTGTAAGCACAGCCAAATGATCGCTGTCTACAGAGTCAAAACTACCCCGAAGAACAGTCTGAAGCCCCAGTTAAGGCTTTATGATATTCCTAATTACGCGTCTTGTGTTGGTGCCTAGGGAATCCTCTGCCCTTTCCATCATGCTCTTGAATCCTGCACTGTGCTGTTTGCTGTACAGGCACCAGGCAGAAGGCAGTCCTGCCACGGGGATGTTGCTTTTCAGAGCAAAGTAAAGAATGTTTTAAGACGTGATGTGTGTGACATTGCAGTCAGCTTCACAACTGTTAATGGCATAAATCTTCAAGGCATGGTGAGTCAGCCATGTGCATGGCCAGTCAACCCATGCTGAAACAAAACCAGGGCGTTCACCAGTTGCCGTCTGTCCTTCTGAAGGAGAAAAGAGCAATTTACTTGTCCCCACTCCTGGAAGGGGTGCAGGGAAAGGAATGAGAAAAGGATTGGATTCTACTCTCCTTCCACTTCGGGACTGCAGGCATTGCTCCTTTTAAATGCCTCATTGAAGAAAAGTATTGTTTCTTTCCATTCCCCCATCTTTGCAATTTCAACTTATTTGCTGTTTTGTTTTCTTTTCTCTCTCATTTCACAACTTTTAACCTTGCCTAGCTGTCCATCTCAAATGATAACGAACTCTTTCTTCAGCCAGGGAAGTGTTTTAAAGCTCTAGCAGTTTTGTTTTCTAAATGACACCACCGGAGAAGATGGGAGGGAAAAATTAAATCAGAGAGGCTGTCAAGAGTTGCCCCTCTACAAAAACCATTAGCTGCCTCTTCCCGGTGAAAGGCAAATTCTGCTGCCAGATCTGTAGACTGATCCTACAGTAACTGGTAGTGTTTACGAAATAATTAAGTGCAAGTGAGGAGAAAGAAGAAAACAAAAAGTATGCAAGGCTGTTAGGCTGCATTCTCCAAGAATGCTCGGTCCCAACAGACCCATGTTTCAAGTCGTGAAAATATGTAGTGCTTCAGCATGTGGCTGAACACAACAGCGACCGCCACTGGGTGACCCAGAAAAAGAGACGAGTAATGAAGTTGTCTTCCTTGTGCTCCGGGGCTGAACGCAACACAGACTGCTTTGCAGCCTCAAAAGCAGGACACGGGCAGAAAAACCCAAGAGCAACATATAAAACCGATAAGTGAGAGAGTACTTATTTTAATTATAAACCGGACCAAATAAATTAGAAATTCAATTACAATGCCATTCACTGACAAGAAGTTCAAAACACTCAGGCTATTAGTGGCACAAATTAACTGTAGGAGATAACAGGATTTGTGGGGAGCAATCCTGTACCCTAGTTTTAATGAAAACATTAAGGTTGAAGCGAGGCCAAGCATGCATTTTGGAAGGACCAACCCACCCACATTTGTATAATCCCCCCGTTAAGGCACATGCCTCCACCTCAGGATCTTAAATATAGCAGGTGTTGAGGAAACGGGATTACAGCTACCGCCTGCTGATGCCCATGCCCACGGCAGGGTCCATGGGCAGAAGGCAGGGAGAGTTTTCTCCCTGCGGAGAAACAGGGAAGTAATTAAAATTTTTTTTTTCAGAATGTTTTTCCTGAGCTCATTAAAAATGCCTGGATTTTGGAAAAGACAGAGCTGCTCTACTGTACAGGCATTTGTGTGGTTGAGAATACTCATCAGCATTGACAGAAAACAATACAGCCTCACCTTAAACACAGCAGCAGGGTTGAACCTTGTTGTAGGCATCTGCCTCCCCAGGGAGGCCGGATGCTGCCCAGCTCCGTGGATGTAAATCCCTTGGCTATTAAAAGATGTTTTAGGTTAGGCATGACAGAAACTGAGAGCAAGATCTGAAGTCCTGAGTTCCCCCTGGTTTGTAGCTTGCTGCCTCGAGGAGATGACCCCACAAGCTACAGATTATTAAATCACATTCCTTCGTGCTCCTCCTAAAGGGTCGATATCCCGAGTCTCTCTCATCCTCCCAAGCTAACCTAATATGAATAATGCACAGCTACCTGGGGGTCACTGCTTATTGGACTGTGGCCAAAGAGCTCTCTCAGCAGATCAGGAGCCAATCAAGTTCATTTCAATATTTATTTTTAATCCTCCGTTCTGAAATTATAAATGTTTAATGCTATGCTCTGACTAGGAAAGCAAAGCAAAGGCAGAGGAGAGACTGGACCAGACCAACCAACAATTTCACACTAATTGGCACCCAAGTACTTGCTGCTCCTCGTGCCTCTTAATATTCCTCGGTGAACACAACTTACGTACTCGAGGCCACCAAGAGCCTGCGAGGACAGAGGTCGGAGGACAGCAAGGAATAAGAGATGTAAGCAAACTGAAGATGGAGGAGAGCAGACTGAAAAGTAATTTACAGCTTGCCCAAAATCCACCTGTAGGCTTCCCTAATCATGATTTAAAGACAGGCACCCAACTCCTACCAAACACCACGAGTAACAAAGGCTTCTTGATGGGGATTCTGTTTTCCACGGAGAACCATTTAATAAGTTTCACTCAGGAAGTCTCTGTTCCCAATAAAGACTTAACAAAGTTAATTAGACTAAACAGTAATTATCGTGTCTCTTCATTGTTCAATTATCTTGCTGAACT